CCCCTCCCCCCCCCTCCTGCCTCATTGCAGGTCTGTGATCCATTCCCCTGGCACACTGAACGTGCAAAGCTCCAGTGTTGTGTGAAGGGAGGCGGCTTGGCTGCAAGGATTAGTGCTGATGCTGTGGACAGCTCTTACCTGTGCTGGACTGGCCCTTCTAAGAGGAGAGGCTCAGTGATGTAGGTTTGCCTGTATTAGTCCCCCTTCCTTATAGACACATGCACAAAAAGGTCTAAAGTGTTGGTATTTTGGTATATATTAGTATGTCAGTGCCTGTAAGTGATCCATGGATGATCAAGCATAAGCCAGCAGGGGATGAGGAAGGAGACTGGGTGATGTGGGCTCCAGGTGATATTCTTTTCATAGAACATTTTGCAAATCTCTCTTTAAATTCTACTTTTCAGCTCCACCGAAGTTGATGATATGATTAGAAAATCTACGAATCTGCTGCTGACCCGAACACTGAGCAACTGTTTACAGAATGTCATCAAGAGGAAAAATGTCGGGCTGACGGAGGTAGGGCATGGCTTCAAGGAGACCCATTTCTAGGGCAGGGTGACAGAAGAAGGTTTGATGCCTTGGAACTCCTTACAGCACCTTTAGAGATGCTGGACTGTTATTGTAAAATATTTGGTTGGAAAACAATAATGGAACCACACAGCATTGCTGTACAAAGAAAGAACCACTTAAGACTCTAGGAAAGAGAAAGCTTTTTTTCCTGTTGCTGTTAGAATTGCTCCTCTTGTGAATTTACAGAGCGTTATATACCTGAATTAAAGTGGCAGGTAAGAGGACTTCAAAGAGTGCTGGAGAAGAGCCAAGTGGGAGCTAGGAGAGGATAGGGGAGTGGTCCCCATCTGTAGGTGATGTTTGAGGTGGTTTCAGCACATTGCTACAGTACAAACTCTATATTGGGATTTTCTTTTCACAATCGATTTTTTTTTTTTTGTGTGCACAAAGTCAGATTTGTGAAAAGTTTAATGCATATAAATCCTGGCTGTTTGGGAATGTGTGGGGTACCCAGAGCAGTTTGGATACCTTAGTGGGACCTCTGTGTACTGTTATTAAATGGGTAGGTATTACACAGTTGCGGTTGTTTGACTGTGCTATAGAAATGTGTTGTGTTCTCTGGACATGGAAAATGCCCTATGGAGGTGAGTCTTTGGAGAGTTTACTGCATTTACAGCAGTATGTATTTACACATGACGCTTCCTCAGCCCTTCATCTCGAAGCCTGGAATCTCTCTGCTCCCTGGGGCAAATTCCTCTTCCCTACTGCTCCTCCCAAAGCTCCCTCCACAAAGAGGAATGCAACACTATCCCTGCACTATCCATCCCCCAAATGATCATTTTTGCTGCTGTTGCAAATGTTCCCACAGTGTGATTGAGTGTAGGAAGGGCAAACTGAATGTGACAGTTCCCTCAGCTGCCTTTGCCCAGTTTAGATGGTGTAGATGTTCCTTGGCATCTTCCCTGTTGAGTGAAGGTGGTGCCTTTCGTTGGGCTGAGAGTGGCTTCTTCATGTGCTTTGGAGCTGAAGAGGATTTTTGCGAGGAAAGTCTACGTAGCACAGCTTGAGTTTAAAATAAAGGTGTAGTACGTCCAGAGACTGGTGTTCATCTCTGAATCTCTTCAAATATTTTCAACCTCTTGTTCCTTACCACTTACCAAGGTACAACTAGCGCTCTCCTGGGGTTATCTCTACCATCATTTTTTTCTAATTTGGTCGAAGAAAAACTACTTTGAGCATCTTTGTCCCCTCCTGCCTCTTTTCTTTGTGTATACATTGACCTGTTTGTCCAAATAGAATCATGCAGCATTATAATTCTGAGTTTCTCAAATCCTTCCCTCTTAAGAAAAAACATTGATGTGACTGTGTGAAAAGTCCCAGAGCATATACAAGCATAGTCCTGGTGTCAAAACTGATTGCAGAAAATATTTAAGTACCTTGCATAACTATCACTTCCCAGATGTAATTTTTGCACAAAGAAACACCATCCATTTCTGGACTCTTAATGTCATTTTCCAAGCAGTGAACAAAGTAATACAAGGCTGTATACCAACCTTCCCGGTCTGTTATCCTCTTTAATATATTTTTCACTGTCTTTTTTTGGGGCTACCTCTGAACAGTGGATGTTGAAGTTTGCTACCAAGTCTGCTCCAAATAATCCTGGTGTTTTGAATAATCCTGACATCCCTCAACAAAAGAGAGGGAAAAGGTGCTACTTTTTTTTTCTTTTTTTCTTTTTTTCTTTCTTCATTTGAATACCCCAACGAGAAGGTCTTACCCCTCTGAACTGAAGAGAAGATAGGAACTTGAAGGAGCCAGAGGGAGGGGCAGGAAATCTCAGAGCAAGTAGTGGAAGAGAATCAAAGCAATCGGGGCCTTCAGGTGTGATCTGGACCAGTATGTTATGATGATCAGAGAAGAGGCTTACGAGGAATTTCATGCAGTTGGAAATATCTAATATTTAACTTGAAACTATAGGAAAATATATCATGATCGTGATGTCAGGGCTGTCTGACACAGAGAAAGGCAAACAAATGAGTGCTTGTGTGAAGTCAAAAATCAACAACAGAATTAAACCAAGGAATTCAGAAATGAGAAGCCCCCCTCGTTATCTGTGTAATACATTTCAGGGTGTCAAAGTACAAGAACAAGACGAGTTCAAATAGACTGTAATTTGATTTCTTAGAAACAAAAACCTGACTGAAATCACAGAAGTATTGCCTGTAAGGGGCCTCTGGAGGTATCTAGCCCAACCTTCCAGTAGAAGTGGGATTGTTACTCACTTGGATCACGTCAACCGTTGCTTTCTCTACTCGAGTTTTAATTTCTCCAAAACATAGGTCCCACAGCTTCTATGGGCACCTTGTTCCAGTTCTGCACTACCCTTCTAATGACACTTTTCCTTCCTCATATTCAAGATGAACCTCGCAAACTGTGACCATTGTCATCTGGCAGTAACAAGAGTTGGGCACTATAATCTTTGTAGCGTTACTTCAATATTTCTGTGCCTGCAACACTCTAAATGGTGATGATCCATCTCATTCAGCAGATTTGCAAGTGTTTCAAAATAGTTTCTTTAGAGGAGGTAACTGCAGGCTGCCACACCGTACTCCAGCAATTAAATTATATCAATCCGGCGCATTATAATGCTTTCTGTATCTGTAATTGTTTTGGCATGACATCTGAGCTAGACGTTACTTGGAAAGGTTTTGTAGTAGCTTATGTTGCACCTTGAAAACATTCATGACAGTCTGTTAGGAAGAAAGGTATCTGCTTAAGGAATTAATGGTGCTTCCAAGTCAGTGATCCTAAAGTGGAAGCCCGAATTGGTTTGCTCTGGATTGCAAATGTTTGTGTTGGTTGGCTTCAGCAGAGGCTTTTACTCTGTAGTTTCCTTTAATGTCCCGAAATAGTGCCATGTGAAGGCAGCTGAGAAGACGGCATTAAGAAAATTGCAGGTAATGGTGGGTATGATAACCAAGAAGATACCAGGGTGAGATCTGCTGTTCACCCACACCACCCTCAGAAAAGTAAAACCTTGTGGTTTCTTTGTTAAATGCCTTAGGATGATGTTGTTCAGTGTCACTCAAGATATGGGTTATTTAGGGTTCATTAGCAGACAGAATACTTGTGATTTGACATGGCATTTTTTTGTAAGCCTGTTGTATTTGAACTGCGCTGCAATGAGCCCTGACTGACAGCTGAATGTAGGAAAGTCATTAAAAAAAAAAATCTTTTGTGGTATTAGTGGCTGTCATGGGAAATGCTTTTCCCCCAAAATTACCTTTTATTTAAGTTTCTGATGTTGTTAAAGGAGGAGAGCCTTTGAGCATGTAGCAAAGCGTAGTGTGTTTGTACAGCGTCAGCTTTTCATGCCAGAAGTTCTTAAATATTGGCATCCATTAACCTGGCACATCCCTGGCTTCAGGAGCACCATCTTTCAATACCTTTTTTGCCTTTGCAGCTTGTACAGATTATTATAAATACGACCCATTTGGAGAAATCCTGCAAGTTCCTAGAGGAATTCATAACCAATATCACTAATGTACTTCCAGAAACTGTCCACACAACGAAACTCTACGGGACCACAACCTTCAAGGTGAGAAGGCTGGTAGATTCACCTCTGGGGAGTTCCTGTTGATGTTTGGTTGGAGGGTATCTGCTTTCAAAGCGTGTGTGTGTACGTAGGGAGCTAAGCTGAGCTGAAAGGTAGTTTTGTCATATCCTGGGAACCTTATGCCATCAGACTAGCTTTTTGGTTTGTCCTTTGGAGCATTACTTCTGTCGAGATTGTGAGTCTTTGTAACCTTCATTTACAGGCTGTGACTGCTGCACTTATGATCTAAAGGATTAAGCAGCTTTTAAACAAAAGCCTGATTTTTTTTTTTTTTTAAATGAATTTTCATTTTGCTGTTTGAATGCTGTAGAATGTTACGCACATCTGGCCACGAACACAAGCTCTCCTCTTTCACCCAAGAGGAGAATAGATTTTCATAACTTATATTTCTGTATCTTTCCACTCATTTTAGCATTATCCCCTAAAAATCAGGGCTGGCAGAAACTGCTAGACTTCCCAGTTTTTAAAGCTTTAAATTGTAACCCAGGAGTATCCACCCAGATACTTTATGTGAAATCTTAAGGCAGTAATTGTGTCAACTTTGGGGTGTCTGAATTGTGCCCCATGGCTGGAGAGCAGGAGATGGGAACAGTGCCGAGGACTTGAGCAACAGGAAGGAATCGGTTAGGTGAGGATTGACCTTGGGATAACTCAGCAAGAAACTAAGGCCCCATGTCCTGAGGGAATTCCATTTGTTGTCCCTTCTGGCATCATCTACCTATTTGGCCCAAGGCTGTGTTTTCCTACCCCTATTCTGGCAGGGAGGCTCCTCTGTGGCCCTCCTGCACCCCATACCTGCGCACAGTTGCCATATGAGATGTTTTTCTCCCATTTCTCTGTCTTTCATCCTGCACTAGTTTTCTTCTCCTGGTCCCCAGGTCACTCAGAGGCAGACACCAGCTTGATCTTGCCTACCGCTGACCTGGTGGCACAAGTCCCACCAGTCTGAGCTAACTGGAGGCTGTAGCAGCCATGTAGTTTCGTACAGGTGCATTGTCTACCTTTAGACCTAAAGGTTGGGTCGGTCTCATGTCCTGTTAGACTTGTGGTATGGAGACTCCATCCCATGTAACATGGTCTTGTTTCCCAGGATGCCCGCCATGCTGCTGAGGAGGAGATTTACACTAACCTGAACCAGAAGATAGACCAGTTCTTGCAGCTGGCAGACTACGACTGGATGGCTATGGAGCCGGGCAGCAAGGCCAGTGACTACCTTGTAGATCTCATTGGCTTTCTACGCAGCACGTTTGCTGTGTTCACCCACCTCCCGGTAAGCCATCTCCGCACCAAATAGCTTTCTTTTTCTGTCTGGGGAGCACACGGGCATCCGATGGCAGTATTGAAACTAATGGTTGCTTAAGCTTTATGGAGTGTGATGGAAATGGGGCCTTGGACTGTCAAGAGTTATGAAATAACAAACCTATTTTTAAAGCAAGCTATTTCACGTGTTACCAGAAGTTGGGTTTCAGCGAGAGTGTCCCCAAGTATTTGCAAGACTACTTATATGTGAACGGGGGAAATACCACAGTCCACCGTGTAGAAGCAGGATCGTAATTCACTAGCCACCTATATTTCAGATATGTTAACTCTCAGCTTAATGGACATTCAAGATTTTTAAAGAGAACCCAGTATAGGGGTGTCTATTATTTGAACTGCAGATACATTTCCAAATGTTTGTCAAGTCACTGTATGCCTTACATCAAAATACTACTCTGTTGGAAGGCAACATATGTTTCTTTCTTTTCTCTGCTGTCTAAAATATGCCTATGTTTATGCTGTTAATGCGATCAAAAATGTATTTTATGTTGGTTTTTGCAGTTGGCCGAGTAGTGTCCCTTTGAATAGGAAAAATATAATCATCGGGGAGTTTCATTTTTGCTCAAACAGCTTTTTTTTCTTTAAATAAGATTTGTTCTGAGCTGTATGGATATATGCTTAACAGTATCTTCAATCAGGAGGTATTTTGAAATAGTAAATCCACTGAACACTACATTTGTCCTAAAAGCAATTTCAGATATTTCTTTTTTACTGGACTGTTATTTATTTGTTGCTAGTTGGTGCCCAGGATTATAGTACAGAGGCACACAGTGGGTATCTTTCATGAGTTTGGACATAAACAGGAAGAAAAGACTAATAATACACAATGGCAGTTTCCTTCACTCCATTCTGCTTGTTTGTGCTGCCGTGATTGCTCTACTAGATGAATGTTCAGGCACTCCAGAGCTGTTTTAGGAGGTGTTACAGCCCCAAAACTTTGCAGTCTTCTCCATGACTCATGTCTTTGGCTTTCTGTGCCACAGCAGGAAAATTTAGTAGCAGGATGGAAATGAGGACTGATGTACTGTGGATGGAGAAGCCACCAAAAGCGAAATAAAGTGGCTCTTCCCAGTTTGTACCTGGAGGTGTTGCTGAGGATAAGGTGATTTCTTGGCTCTTATCACTGGAACAAACTTCTAAATACAGTGTTGCCTCCTGTGCAGAGAGGTTGGAAGGGCTTTTGCCCATTTTCTTGTTCGGGCCAGGTTTATTACCAAAACATCCACTCTGTTGGCAGCCCTGAGCAGCATGGCTGGTGGCCATGCAAGCAGGCATGGGGCAGGTGCCCTCTTGAATCTGGAGGTGATTGGAGATGGCTGGATTCCTGAACTGCTGGATTTCTCCTTAAAAAAAGGAGATGTGGCTGCACAGGGGTGGGTTATCACCTGCAGACCACTTCCAGAAATCATACTGGGAGTACTTATACAAGCAAGTAATGGACTTTGACCGGGAAATTGGTCCCTGCACCAGAGCATGAAGCATGGCTAGCAGGAGAGACAAGGATGGGGAGAGATGCCCACAATGGTTTATGAGATGGACCTGGAGTGATTTATCTTCCTTTAATACTAATGTTCCTTTTTTGAGTGAGTCAAAATTGTTTTGGAGACTGGGAGGGCAGCTAATCGGTCTAAAAAAGACTGAGACAGATCGAAGCAGCGTTTTATCTTCCAGAACTGGATTAGAAAGGACCCAACTGAGAAGAAGTCTGTCTGCAGTTTGCTGTGGTGGAGGTGCCGGCTAATGTGTCAGTGCTGTTCAACCAGCACACATGCAGCATCTTGTCTTCAAAGCATTGCACTGCACTGATCCTCCTGACAGCCCTGAGAGACAGGGGAGGCAAGTCAATCAGATGCTGCAGTCTAATTTGTGAAGCTGTATATCTGGTTAAAAGGTTTGTAGGAGATGTAGGTCTGGGATTTTTTAATATATATTGGAGTTTCTTCCTTTAGAGGAGCACTGTGAAGACGCTGTCATTGAACATTGCTGATGGGTCCCCACATACCCTTGCAGGCCATGCTATGTGAGAGCAAGTCAGAAAAAATCAGGGTACATGAAAAAAGCACCCAGCTCCCTCAGGGTGTCTGCTGGTTTGTTCTTGTGGGGCTCAAGGGCCTTATTTTTCACTGGCTTATTTAGAAAAACATTAAAATTTTTGCACTTTTCCAAATGAAACGTAGGAGATAAGGCATGTGGAAGCCCACATCTGTCTAAAGCAATGCAGAAAAAATGATGGAGACGTTTATGAAAGCACCAAAAATGTCAGATGAGCTTCATTTGTGAAAGCAAAGAGTGAGAGGAGCTCAAGGGGGAAAGGAACTATTTCCAAAAAGGGTGATACTACACTGCCAGTAGCTCATTAAGAAAAGTAACTGTACACCATCCTTGGATGAGCTGTCCTTGGATGAGGCATCCTTGGAGCATCTGGGACCCACATCTCATTCCTAGAAGTTGGTTCCATGCAACACCTTCGCTTCCTGTTCTCTTGTCCTTTCCTGGTTTGGAAATGCCCTTATCTTCCAGAGGTGATAATTGGGTACCTTCATGTTGAATTTACACAGTTTTAAAAAAGTGAAAAGTGTTTTCCTAGAATTTGCACTTGCAACAGTTTTTTTTAGAAGAAAAGAGTGGCAATCTCAGGAGATGACTAAGTGGCAGGAGCTGAGCTACTCACCTGCCTTTTGTCACGACAGTAATTACACCGAGAAAAACCTTCACCTGCTGATCAAAGAAACTCGGCCTGGGCATGTTGGCAGTTACTGTGCTAAAATTACACTAACAAAAAGCACTGTCCTGTAATAGAACGGAGCCAAAAGTCCTAAGCTTGCAAAAATGCAGGCGGCTCCTTAACTTGATGAGTGTGAGTAATCCCATTGTCTTGGACAGGGCTGCTCATCTGCAGGAAACTTTTCTGGGGTCAAGGCTTCAGCTTGCTGCAAGGCAGATCAAATGGCCTTGAAGGGTCCGGTCGACTCAAGTCAATGTTTTGGAAAGGGGGTAAAGAGGAGCAGAGATGCTGAGCAAGCTAAAAGGGGACTCCAAGACAAGATTTGGGCATTAGGTTTTATTTTTCCCTTTTTTGGATACATGTGGCTGAATTTTTCCTGTATTTATTGAGGGGAATCCCAGGGTGGTTGAGGTTGGAAGGGACCTCTGGAGGCCATAGAATCACAGAATTCTATGCAATGAGCAGGGACATCTTCAACTAGATCAGGTTGCTCAGAGCCCTGTCTAGCCTGAACTTGAATTTTTCCAGGGATGGGGCGTCTACAACCACTCTGGGCAACCAGGTCATCTGGTCCAACTCCCCTGCGCAAGCACAAAAAATAACCCAAACCAAAGCTAGTCTTGGCTCATGGAGTGGCATGAAGAGCCTCCACTTTGTCTAGTATTTCAAGCAGGAAGTGCAATCCCTAATTTTTCCTTTAGAGCATCAGAGCAGACATCATGGGAGATGGTGGAAAACTCTTGATATTAAGAATTCTTGGAATCGATTCACTTTGTGGCTTTGCTTTGGGACACTGAGCCCCTGTCTGGGGAGGGCATGCTGGTGAGTACAGCATGTGCCGGTGGGGTGGAAAAGTTCATGGTAAAGTTAACAGGGTTTTGGTGCATACCACCGCTGCATGAAATTTTCATGGTGGTTTAGAGCCACAATTCGAAAATGCTTCGCTAAGTGCCCAAAATGTCTCAAAGCAAATAGCACGCTGGTGGAAATCAAAGTATAATTAACATTTGGCTTCAAGGCTGTCCTCTTCCTGCATTAACCAGGGAGAGTCTATTACTCCTGCTGCTGAGTGTATTAACATGGGATGCTCGGGCCTCCTTTAAAAGAAAACGCTTTTTTTTTTTTTAGAAGAAAAAAACCTTTAGGAAGAAAAAAATATTTTAGAAAAAAAAAAAGGTGGTTTCTGGTTTTCAGCAAGTAAAGGGCCATGGCCTCAAAAATTAACATTTCCAGCATAATACTTTTAAAAGAATGACTGAAAAAGTCTTTTGTCTTTGATGGCTGATTGTTGTTTTTATTTCTTGTTAGACAAGTTAATGTAAATCGCATTGACAGGGCTACTCCAAACACACTGATTTGTTGACATTAAGCTTCTCAAAGATGGAGGGTTGTGTCAACACCTACAGTGAACTGTCAGGTTAACAAAGCAAGGATGTTTTCTTGGGGGATGGGAGCAGAGTTGAGGGAAAGCGGGGGGGGTGGGGGTATTTTGTTTTTATTTTAAGTTTCCTTTAATCCTCTGTTAGTCTTGTATCTTGATAACCTCCTTTGGAAGGTAATCAGGGCAGGTCAAGAGGTGATGCTGACCCGGGAAGGGGAAGCAATCTTTCAGCGATCGAACAAACTCTAACCTCTGCCATCTTGAGCAGTTCAGCGTGAACTTTCTGCAAAAGGGTTTTTCGGTTGGTTTTTTTTCCTTTTGTGCATATTTTTGCCAGATGGCAGGCACAGATTTCAGCTAGAGCCGTGCAAACGCTGCAGCTGCTCTGCCTGCAATGTTTTTGCCTTATTCACCATATTGACATCTTCTCCCGGTTGCAAATAAATACGCTGGCCACAACAGCTCTTGCATTTTAGAAAGAGCTTTGGAAGTGGTTTTTTTCTTTTTACAGAGGAAGATTACCTGTGTTTTTATTTCAAAAAAGCAAATCCCTCTGTAATATTCTAAAAGGTAAGGCACTGTGCGTGGAAGTAAAATACCTTGGACTTTGCACCAACTACAGCCTTGACCACGTTGGGAGGGTCCCAAGTGGAATATAGCCATCATGAAAACACCATTTGAGCATCAAAGACACCTTCTTTAGATTTGCACGAGTCCCGTCTGCTTCGATAACATCTCCTTGCCCTCAGAATAGCTGAGCAAGTTTTGCTTGAGCTGATCCCTGCTGTCACTCGCTAGGGTTTGATATCCCTCACCTCCATCTTACAGATGGGAGAGCTGAGGCATATGGGTGTTGACTTGCAGAGCATACTTAATAGCAATAAAACTGGTCTTGTGGTACTTTGATTTCCTCCTCATCCTTCCTAGACCAGGTTCAAAGAGCCCATATTTTGCTTTATTAATAGTCTGCCAACTGCCAAGCAGCCGGTGCCTTGGTTGGCGTGTTGATAGGTTGTAGGCACCTACAGGCAATAACAGATATGTACCTCTCTGCCTTTCTTGCTGTTGCTTTGCTCTCTTCTGCATTTGACTTTAAACTCCCTGTGTTGTCCTCCGTAGGGGGATGTAGATGTCCACTCTACAATGTCGGTGAGTACAAGACTGCGTGTCGTGCGCGTTTGGTCTGCTCTGCTCACACCTCAAACATTAGAGGGTGAGTTGAACCAGAAAAGGTCCTTGGTCTCGAAGGGAGGAAAGGGAAAGATTGAGTAGAAGTTTAAATCAATAAGATAAATAAGAGACCAGAGGAAAGGGTTTTCTTCCAGACAGGTCGCCCACAAGTGTGCTGTTGCCGTAGCATTGCTAAATTGTGGCTTTTAGAGCACATTGCATTTAACTGGCTCCTTTTATCTCCCGTGCGTCCTTAAACGTGCGGGAAATTAGGGGAAATGCCTGTTATTAGGGAAAGCATGATGGGATCTTCAACCTACGCTTGAAAGAGAAAAGATCTTTGCAAAATTCCCCATTGCTACCTGTATTTTGTTCAGACAAATACCCCATGGGGATTTCAGCCTGACGTTCCTCCTGGTCTAAGTGCTCCGACCCAGGGCTTGGACCGCTAAGCCTTCCCTCCGGCTAGTGTGGTAGAATAGTATTTTATCCAGAAAATAGCGTGGGTTCTTGACATTTACTATCTCCCTATTTGCATTAGGGCAATTAGTACAAAGAAAGCAAAGGAGACCTTTCGGACCTGCCTTCTGGTTCAGTGAACGCCTCTAATTGTTGTCATTTCTGCTTGTTTCATGTGCGGGAGAAAAAGCTGTGGCATTTCCCCAGATAGATCACAAACAAAGTGCTCTCAAGCTACCTTGTTTCCTCTGTTCCCATGTCTGCAAGTCAAGGCACGTGCGAGCAAAGCGCGCCTCGTTTTTCGTCAGTGCAGCCCTGCTCGATGTGGTTGTGTGGTGTGAGATGTAGCCAGCGTGGAGGCGTAGCCTCTACTCCAGCTTCTGCTTTTCCGCCTTTAACCCCTGCTCTTCATTTTAATGCTGAGCTGCCATGGTGGTATTGATATTACACGCTGCGGTTGGGTGCATGTACCCCTTTTCCTGGAAACTGAGCATAGCTAAGCCTTGAGTATTTGCAGGCTCTGGGCACCTGGGGGTTTCTAAGTCAACATCGAGGTCTCAAATCAACGCCAGCTTCTGGAAAGAAAGAGCCTTGTTAAAGCAATTTGAGGCCAGCTTCCATCAAAGCCATGGCTGGATTGCTGGGAGGGCTGCGGGAGCTGCCCGCTCCACCGGGGAGCAGGCAGGGATGCTTCGGGCATCCCCCTGCAGCTGCGGGTTTCCAGGAGCGGTGTTGAATGTCGACCATCTTGCGTGGTGTCCTTAGGGTGTACCCGAAGAGAGACAGATGCAGAAACTGGTATTGCCTCTGGCTTTTCAAGGCTTTCAACCATTTAGAAGCCAGATGTATTTATTTCTTTAATTGAATCCAGTGCCTAGACAGCTATGGAGTCAGCTTCCTATGGAGAGGGGTGCATTAGTTTCATTAAGGTAAATCAATGAAAAATAATACCTGGAGGTCCCCTGGAAAGGGTCAGGAATGGAGTAATCCCTTTATATGGTGGGACTTTGCTAGCCTGCTCTTGGTTTTGTTCTTAACTGCAACGGATTCCAATTTTCCTTTAACCCCTCTAATTTTCTGTTCTCTAGGTAGTTTGTATTAATTGGTGGAAATAAATCACTAATCTGTCTGTCTAAAAGAGACTGAAAAATAAAAATCTGATTGCACAAAATAGCAGGACAAAGGTGTAATTGTAACCGAGTTTAAGACATACAGTGGGAAGTAGTTGTGGCTAATCTTGGAAGTTTCTTGGTGTTGTAGATATAGACACACATTAAAAAAAAAAAAGCGAGTTGCCTGGGATGCAGACATGGACAGAGCATGGGCAGTGTCCAAAGTTGTCCCTATGCAGTCCTCAGGGGGCTTCCTCTGCTCTCCAGAAATGATCCGAGTCTCTTGAGGGGTTGCTCGGACCAGCTTGCCCTGAAGGTTGGGCACAACGCCCTTAAAACAAGGGTGCCTTGGTGGGGAGAAGGTGGGCTGGTGACTGGAGCAGCGCTTGCAGGGCTGTGTGGTCCCATGCTGCCCACCTCGCTGCAGTCTGGTGGCTGTGTGTTACTTTCCTGGTCTTCTTGTCTCTGAAATCCCAAATTCTTACCAAAATGAAGGCGTTGAAACAAGAACTAATGGTTGCTTTAAAGCACGGAGCAAAGCATTCAAATACACTGGCTTTAGCTTTGTTGGCTGGGGAGAAGGCTGACCTCTGATTAACCCAAGAGTGCTAGTTAACTCGAATCTGGGTAAGCCAAGTTATCTTGTAATTACATGGTTTCTTGTCTGCTTTCAGCACTTTGAAAATTAATTGAGGCTAAAATGCTCAATCCCATAAATCCTTTAAACCAGGGTGTGCACGCTTCCCTAGGTATTGCTTCCCTTTGTGTAGTCACCTTGGCATGTTTGGCTTTGATTTTTATTTTACAAACTTAGATTTATAAAGCTATTTTATGCTTACTTTTGCATGCACGTACATACACAAAGAATCAGATGTGCGGTATGGGAAATTTGGCATCTGAAAATCCATCCTCAGCGGAAGGAATCCAAACATGCCTGCTGCCTCCTGCACCAGAGCCCCAGCGTGTATCTTCCAAAAACTCTTAACAGAAGTTAAAGTATGGGTTTTTTTCCCCCTTTAGGCTCAAATTTAAGCAAAACAAGACTTTGCAATTATATGCCTTCCTCTTATTTCATCCACTGGCAACCTGAAATCTTGTAAGGCTTCTCTGAAGTTGTGAATGTGCAAAGGAACATTGATGAACACCACACTTGCTTCCAAAGCCCCCAGCTATCTTTCTTCATGTACCCGTGAGAGGAGACCCACCTGCCCTGGAGGAGCCAGACCTTCAAGTGCAATGTCCTTTGGGGTCCCCGTGCAGAGGTCACTTGAACTGAGGTCATATGGAGAAGCGTTAGGAGCTCATGCCCATCATTCAGAAATGATAGCTGACTGAGCACGGTTGAGTGCTATTGGTATGGTTGAAGTAGCTGCAATTAAGGACGTATCATTTCGTGACCATCATAGGGGTGCCTTTACACAGAGATATGTTCTCCCTATATCTCGTAGCGTAGGTTAGATGTGATAGCAAGAGCAAGCAAGCAAAGCATTTAAAAGTGCAGATCCTTATGGATTTCTCATGATAGCTGTGGTCTTTTTTCATTTTATTTCATGAATGGCAATAAATTAGTCCAATGGGTTAATTGAAAAACAAGATAGCAGTAATTTCTACAGCTTTCTGTCTTTTTCTTCTTTCTGTTTTCAACTATAATGTCTCAATATTGAAAATGGAAATTTAATGTATGATTTAGATTTTGGAAAAATGTAGATGTGTTGGTCACTCAGTAATCAGCTCTGCTTGGGGAAAAAAAAAAAAATCTCCTGAATTGAGCTTTGATGGCTCATGGAGTAGAAATGGAGTGGGTGGTGCTTTTTTTTTGTTGTTGTTGTTGTTTTGAGCTCATCCTTTTTTCCAGTCTGTTCAACATCTGGGTCTTAAGTCATGTATTAGTTGCGTTTCCAACAGGCGGCTGTACGTCACGGCAACATGCCGACCCGTCCTTCGGCATCTCGGCAAGCAGAAAACTGCGTAAACAGGGAATCTGGAGCATCCATTTGTGTGTGAAGGGTGAGAAACCCTTGATGTCAGTGTGCTGGAGGGCTCCGCCGTGAGGATGAGTGCAGCGTGCTGTGCTGCAAGCCTCAAGATCTTTCCCCTTTTATTTATAACATCAAATTTAATTATAAAATAACATAGCAAAGATGAAGAGATTCAGTACATTCTCTTTGGGTCTTCCTACTGCCATAATTGGCAGATGCTTTGCCCTGATAAATCAGCAGAAAGAAACGTGGTTCTAGCTCTGATACGTTAGGGGAAAAATAAAAAAAAATCTGTATTTAATCAACTTTTTGTTTCCAAAATGGCAGCTGCTTTGTATTTAATGGAAAATCAGGCTCTTCCCAATGGAAAGAATGTTATTCCCAAAGCGAATACAAAACAAAATAAAAGCCACAAAAGAGGAGGATGAAATATGTCTTTTTTTTTTTTTTCTCGTTTGTTCCAGTTTTGGAGCTGCGCGCTCCGATCATGGTCGGGCCACAGCTCTGGTTTGCGTCAAGTAACTCGGAACGTCTAAGCTTGTGGACACAGGGACCAAGAGAGAGCCTCACTCCATGTTACGAGGCACAGATAGGACAGAGAAAAACTAGGGCTACTTCATGGTTCTTGCATGCCTGTAGAGACTCATTAACTGCAGGTTATTTGTGCATTTAGTTCCTTTGTAGGCTGAGATGCCTCTGATGTTGGAGCACCATGTTTTTTCCTTGACGTCTCTTGTTGCACGGTCTTGGTGTCTTTTTCAGAGGAGAATGATCTTTGTGGAGACCCAAGTGGTGAGCATGGGAGGAGGAGAAAATGGATGAGCTTCAAGCCCGTGCCTTCTCCGAACCCAGCCAGCAGGTCCATGGGTCGCCATCCTTTCCCTGGGGTTGCAGTGGATCTACAGCACTGTCCTTACTTAGTCTGCTGCTTGTGTTTGATTGCAGTGTTTGGTCCAAAATGCATTTAAATGGCAAAAAGTAATAATTTACTGCTGGGGGGAGGCTGCCAAACTGCCACCATGGCAAGTCAAATGCCCCAGGTTTGTACAATTTGCTTGAGGGTTCCCTCCTGCTGCCGGGCCACGGGTGTTGAGCCACGCTGTGGAGATACCTTCTGGGGGAAGGAGAAGTGGTTTGAGCTGTTGTGATGTGCTCTGTCCATGTATTTAGAATTTTGCGTGGGTTTTGGTAACTCCTTCCCTGCTGGCCCTGCACCTCCCTGTCTTGTGATGCTGTTCCTTAGCGCAAGAAGGCAGCGCAGGCATTTGCAGTGCGGCTCATAACAGCATGGAGTATTTAGAGAGCAGGTAATGGGAGTTTTTTATCTTTTATTGTTTAAAAAGGAGGGTCGCATAAAGAGAGCAGAAGGCATCAGATTTGCAACGTGATTTTGATGCCACAGGCTAAACCTCCAGCCTGGTGGGAGAGT